TATCTTTATCTGTCTTTGTAAAGCACTATGTCTGTTTTATGACCATATGTGAGTGTTCTATAAGTAATATAGTCCTTTGTGGCAGGTATAGTAAGTTTTATTTCCATTTTACTGATAGGGGATATTGAGAGGCAGAGAAATTAATGACCTGTTTAAAACACACGGTGAGTCTGTAGGAGAGTCAGGATTAGAATTTTGAAGTCCTTGGTTCTAGTCTTATTCTTCTGCTCTAGACCACACTGACACTGAATATGACAGTTTTTAAGAGACCAAAACCCAGCCTTCAATAGGTCAGATTCTGCTTTTATGTTATACAGAACTCCAATTAAATAAGTATGTGTTACATTGGCATATCTGAGGGCTGTATTTGGCTCAGTAATTTTACACAGGTTTAAAAAAAGTCTAGTCTCAGAAGGGTTAGAAAAAAGAGGGGCTTGTGACTTTCAGATTTTGGCACCAATCCTAGGCTCTTCATGGGCAGAGTGGTCCATCTATGTAGACGTGATTGCAGGTTCAGGACCATATACAGTACAATCGCTCCCCAAGTTGCGAACGGTCAAGTTACGACCGTTCGCACTTACGACCAAAGCTCCCGTGGTCCTCGAGTCGTGAAGGCGGTCCTCGAGTTACAAACATGACCCGCACTTACGAACAGCGTGGTCGCGTGTAACTCAGTGGGGTCCGAGTTACAAACAGATCGAGTTATGGCCAAGTGTTTTGTCCATAACTCGTTCGTAACTCGGGGAGAGGCTGTAATCATTTAGTCAGGGAACATGTGAGCGCACACAGTCTTGAACAGAAAACAAAGTCTGAAAGAATAACCATGGGACTGTATATTGTTTTGCCCATTGCTCAGTATTACTCTGAAACCACTATCTAATGTAGAAGTTCTCTCCTATTACACTAGTGTTTTCTGATACAGGGCTTGACCCTACAGAAAATCTCTCCTAGTGAATATATAGTTGGTACTGTTTCTGTAACCACATGATTCACCTAACTAAATGTGGTGCATACTGATAACTGAAAAATGATTGAATAGAAATTTCATCATGTTTGTAAAACACCCATTACATTTTTGTTCTATTACCTCTTTCCATTCAGCTCCTCTGATTCTAAAAGCCCAGGGATGAAGCAGTTGCCAGCAGAAACTGTCCGTCTTCTTTCAAGTTCTCAAGCGATCACATCAGTTGTCAGTGTAGTAAAGGAGCTGCTAGAGAATTCCTTGGATGCCAATGCCACGAGTATTGACGTTAAACTGGTAAGTCTTCTCTGGGACTAAGTTGGACATAAGATGGAAAACTGGATAGTAATATACAGGGAACATTTCTCCTGTGTTATGTAAGGGTGCCTATTGGGAGCCTGCATGTAACCGTGAAGGTTAACCCCTGAGCCCAGGATCATTGGTTACCCATGTACATGGTTACCCTTTCACATCCCTAGTGAGTGAGCTCTTCAGACTGTGAAATAGGTGGCTTCTTAGTCCAGCCAGATACAATGGAGGTGGGAGTGGCTCTTTGCATGGATAGTGTTTAGAGTGTGGATTGAACTGTTCTGATGTAAGAACCGTTAGAGCAACTAAGGCTGGAGAGATAGCTTAACTGACTGTTATTTTATTGTTAGTTTCTTGATTTTTTTTTTTTTTAAGATAAACTCAAGGGAGTGGGAGATGAGTTTTTTACTACAGTGTGTTCAGGCTTTCTTTTACAGAAGGTTGGGAAAAGCATCTGCTCACACTGGAAGTTCTGCACAAGTGCCCAGAGCAATTTGGATAATCTGATTTGTATCTGTATTTCATTGGTAATCCACTGACTGGAATTCAACCAAGGGAATTTCTGAATGTTGCCACCTGATGTTTGTTTATTGACACAAGAATGAGTGGAGGGTATCAGTCCAGTTCCTAATGGACAGATCTATACATCAGAATTGGCTTCCTTTTTGGCTCTCACTATCTTAGCAGCTAGTCCAAGATTCAGTCTCTATTACCCTCTTGATTTGTTTGCGCCAGATCAGATTTGAATCACATTAGTACATTGGTGGGGCAGTGTTGGAAAGCTTACTTTGCCATTGCCTGTGCTGTACCACTGAACAAAGAGAAAACATAGGCCACGTGTTAAGGTTGTCCCTAACTCTGGCACTCTAAGTGCAGAAGGTGGGTACCCAAAAGAGACTTTAAAATACCTTGCCACTAAAGACTTGTGTTAAAACTCCCTAACATCACAGATTTCCTGATCTTGGATTAGAATCGCTGCTACCACCCAAATGCAAAACCCTTTTGAAAATCCAGGAGGGTACAGTTGGAAATTCCTTCCTGTGAGGTACAATCAAGCTCTTTTAACCCTTCTCTTGGAGAGAGTTTGAAACTCAGCTGTTGCAATCAACTGAAAAAGGAACTTTAATTTCTCTTAGTAATTTGGCTGTGTAGTCTTAGGCATGTGCGCACAGAATCTCCCGTCTTCGAGGACCCAAGAATCATCAGATCATGATCTTAAGAGTGATTTTTATTAACAGCAACAAAAAAAAAAGAGAGAACACACTCGGGTGAAACATTACTTGGTTGCTATGTGCCACAGAGAAACGGGGGGAGGAGGGTAAGGGAGAGAAGATAAAAAACAAGAGAATTGCTTCCCTGGCATCAATTTTAGAAATTACAGCATAGGGGGGTATTTACCTGGGTTCAGCACAGAGAAGTCCAACAAACCCTAAAATAAAGAAAATGACCTGATCACATCTGACTAAATATTCCCTAGTGATAGAGATGCAGCCGTGTTAGTCTGGTCTAGCTGAAACAATGTATTTTAGCAGTTGGAAATAAGGGGAAAAGACAGTAGTACTTAGCCACTCAGTCTTCTCATACCTCAGGCAATTCTGTGGATCACATGGTCTATGAACGTATGGGAACTGCTGATCCAAGATACTGTAGTTGATCAATACCAATTTCTTTTAAGACTATCACACTAGTTTTAATTCATCCTATTATGTCTGCTTACTGCAGCACATATTGTATGTTAGATCATAATCTGTTCAGAGAACCATTCAATAAATGAGTGAAACAGGTTGAATTATCTAGTCCTGTCATTGTGACAGTGAATCTCCTTGCTTGTGATTTGAGTAATCTGCATTATAACGTTTCTTTTGATGTTTCTCATTTACAGTACAGCAAACAGCAAAACTTTATGATGCCCTAGTATAACATGCTTCCTCTCATTTAAGTTCTATATTTAATTTAGCCATCTCAGTTTAGTTATTTATAGTTCTAGACCTGCATCTTTTTAATATTAATTTTTGTTAGATGTTAACATTTGTCATATTAAAATAGTGGGGAAAAATCTCCCATGGAGAAAACTATATATTGGGAAACAATAAGATGAATCATGATGTTCAGTCCCCTTAGTGCCAGCTGCCTTTTAGAGAGAGAAGTCTTTTGAATTCATCACAGTAGACTTGTGCGAGTGTATTTAGGGCATCATTTTGACAAAATAATTATACAGCACTATCGACTATACGATTTTTTAAACAATAAATGTAACCTATAAAGGGAAAAACAGGTGTACTTCTTTCTGATCTATAACGAAGGCCTGACATTTTTAAGTCTGTCTATCATTTACACATTAGAACACCAGGTTTAGTCTAAGATGGACTCCATGTGATGGTAATCTCATAAAAACAAAGAGTGTGAAAGTTGAACAATGAGACAAATAAGGATTTGTACTCTGATTGTCAGTGTTTTGTGTTTAAGAATATCAATTTAAATCCCATGATTACTGTTTTGAATAAACCAAGCTTTTGTCCCAGATTAACATTCTTGCCCTTTTGAATTAATGTTGCCAGAGATTATAGTAAATATCTCAGATCTCTCTCATAGATTCTCCAGTAAAAGCAAAGGGAGAACTGACTTCATAATCTTTACATCTGTAGGATGAAGAAATGAGCAGAATACTTAACCCTAAATCACCACCCCCTTGCATGCAGTTCTTTTCTGTATCCTATAGAGAAACTAAAAAGTACACAATTGTAATTAAAAAAATCCTTGTAGGTCCTTGTTACACATTTGATAACATGACTCCCATTTACTTTGCATGTGAAAGATCTAGCCCAGTGTTTTCCAATTTTATTTGGATACGGAACCCTTTTAAACTTGAAAGAATTTTGCAGAACTCCTAATAACTGTCTAATATTTGTGGTCTACTTTTTTAGCTCCATATAAGTAAGGATAATAATAAACAAATGCTAAACAAGGTCGGGAGATCAGTATTTAGTTTAATTGCACATATTTAAAAACAAAAACCACATAATATTAATTTTTTTTAATCATAAAATGTTATTGTAATGGAATTTTCTCATGGAACCCTTATTGTCATTTTGTGGAACCCTGGGGTCCCGCAGAACACCATTTGGGAAACACTGATCTAGCCTATGATTAGGCTCCACCAAATTCATGGCCGTAAAAATGTGTCACAGACTGTGAAATCTGGTATTCCCCAGAAGCATAGAAGTAAGAGTGGCAATACCATATTATGGCATCCTTATTTCTACTCTGTTGCCTACAGAGCTGGTCAGCTGGAGATTGGCAGCTGCGGACTAAGGGCCTGGGTCTGAGGAAGCAGTGCAGAACTAAGAATAGCAATATTATACTGTATGATCCTTCTGCGCTGCTGCTGGCAATAGCTCTGCGTTCAGAATCAGACTCCTGGCCTGCAAGTGCTGCTCTCCAGCTTCCCAGCTCAGAAGGCAGCTCGGCCACCAGCAGCAGTCTACAAGTAAGGGTAGCAGGACCACAACTCCACTCACAATAATCTTATGGCCCCTCACAAATAAGTGACATTTCAGATTTAAATGGCAGAAATAATGAAATTTACAGTTTTTAAAATCCTATGACCATGAAATTGACCAAAACGGACCTTGAATTTGGTAGGGCCCTAACTATGGTGAGTAAATAAAGTGGAATACATTCACAAAACATGCACTACTCTTTGGAAAAGGGAGGGAAGATCAAACAAGAATGAACCATCTTTAACATTCAGGGTATTGAACTTTTTCTCGGTTTATATTTTATAAAATCATGACCTAGATATTGAAATAACTTTTATTAGTCCATAGTGTAATAGTAGTGCTTTCCTAAAACTATATAATTTAATATGTTACTTGTTTTGGAACAATATAAAATTACTTAACTGTTTCTTTTTTCCTTTGTACATGTTTGTATAGACAAACATGTGTCCTGCAATCTCTTCACAAGGAAATGTGACAAAATTTTGCCTATTTTGAGTAGGGATGTAAAATTTCAATTATTTGGCTAATCTAATAGTCGATGCAATTTGCGATTTGGGTCTGGCCCCAGGCTCCATGCGGCACTGCTGCTTTGAAGCACTCCTTCCTCTTCCCCTCCCCCATTGCTGCCTCTTTCTGATAGAGGCAAGGGGGGGGGAGCAACTCATCAACTACCCTGTCAACTAGTCATTCACATCCCTAATTTTGAGGGCTGAAGGACTGAGCCTTCAATACACGTGGACTAACCATTATACATAATCTCTAATTTTGCATTTGAGATGTATTTTTGTGATTGATATTACTACTCTTTTTAGGAGAATTATGGGTTTGACAAGATAGAGGTGCGAGACAATGGTGACGGCATCAAAGCTGCTGATGTTCCAGTTATGGCAGTTAAGCATTATACCTCAAAAATAAGCTGCCCTGAGGATCTTGAAAGCTTGACCACCTATGGTTTTCGTGGTGAAGCCTTAGGATCAATTTGCTGCATAGCTGAGGTGAGATGTCAGACTTTCTTGCTGTCTTAAACAATTACAAAATATAAATGCAAGGACTTAAGGTTGTACCCTCAATCTCACTGTAGAATGCTGACTTTTTTTTTAAAGGTATAATTTGGATGGTTTGATATCTTTTGGACAACTTGCCTTTCACTCCAGTGAAGCAACAGAGCTGGAAAGATTGCTTATTTTGAATTCACTGTAGGATTAGTCACTGGCTCTTTATCAAATCAGTTTGGTAGCCAGCATTGTTTCACTTCTCCCCTCAAGGCAACAGTTTGCAGTGTGACCTGATCCTTTCCTTTGATTCCAGAGTACAGGCTGTCCAGAATGTTCTTATTCATCATTCAATCTCACATCAGTTGCCATCAAATTATCATAATGATCTTCAGTCATGAGGTCTGGTTAGACTGCTCATTGTTCCTCGCTATTCAGATATCTATGACTGGTAAAACATCTTCTTTCACCTTTGAGTAGCTAGGAGCCTGTTCTCTGATCTGGTCACAGTGGTCGTGTGTTTGTGACCAGTACAACTGAGCACTACAATGCACTAATATCTAGGAATGAAACTTCTTACTACAAAAAGCTCTGTTTTCAAAATCTGTCTGTTAAGCAGTACAAAGCACTGAGACCATGTTCTGTGCACCTTTTTTACTGAGTCAAATTCAAGTTTCTCATCTTTACCTTCGAAAGTCTCTGTGGGATAGGCCCAAGCTACCCACAGGCTGATCCTCATCTCCCAAGACAGAGAAGCTTCAGTGTGAGAGTGTGGGCTGACCATGACCCCATAGGCTGGGGAGAGTCTGTTTTTTCACAAGCACGTCCAATCACAGTATCACAACTACTTCTTCGTGGAATTCAGTGCTGAAAGAGATTACCTAGGGAGAGTGTATATTCACTGTTGTTGGAGGGTTTTAAGAACAGATTAGACAAGTACCTGTCAGGGACAGTCTACATATATGTAATCCTTCCTCAGTATTGGGGCATGAAAGGAGGATGGAATAGATGATTTCCTGCGTTTCCTTGCAGCCATACATTTCTGTGGTTCTTCACTTCCTGCGCTAAACTAGTGTGTAGTGGTGCAATATATGGCTATGCTGTAGCTGTTTTTCACTCAGAAGGTATAGCTACATGCAAAACTTTTCCTATTTAAAGTCAGTTTGATTATTTTTTAAAGATTTCTAGGATACTTCTGATAACCTTAATACCTTCCATTCAGATCATTTGAAAATTTGAATTCAGTGGTTTAATATCTGAATGCAGTTACTTCATATTTATTGGACTGTTGAGTACTCTTGGTTTTGGTATAGGGTCTTTTGAATATCACCCAAGCCATTTAAAAAGTACTTTGCTACTGAAACATATTATTAGGGCAGATAGTGATGATTTGTTTTATTTTGGAATTCCTTATGAAGAAACAGTTCTGAAAGAACTCATGTGATGCAAAAACTCTTCCAGAAGAGAGCGTCTACGCTGGCATGTGCTTTTGCGCAAGAGCATCTTTGCCAGTGTAGACGCTCTCTTGTGCAAGAAAGCTCTGATGGCCATTTAACCATAGGGCTTTCTTGCGCAAGAAATTCATGTTGCCTGTCTACACTGGCCTCTTGCGCAAGAACAGTTGCGCAAGAGGGCTTCTTCCTGAGCGGGAGCATCATAGTTCTTGTGCAAGTAGCACTGATTTAGTGCATTAGAACGTCAGTGTACTTGCACAAGAACTCTTGGCCAGTGTAGACAGGCAGCAAGTTTTTGCTCAAAAGCAGCTGCTTTTGCGCAAGGTCGCACCAATGTAGACACAGCCCTTATGTTTTCTCTCATGAAGAATAGGATTTTGAAAATCTTAAATACATTTAATTTCAAAAAGTCAGTTTAGAAATGTGTATTATTGCAGACATTGTTTAAAAAGCTACTCTTCACATAGTATACTGGTATGTAAGAAAAAGAAGTAGAAATCTGCCGTTTTTAATGATAGGGATAGAAAATCAATGTATTGTGAAGTATTTTTTTCATTAGTCTGATGAAAAAGAAAAGAAACAGACTTCAAAAAAATTGTTTAAGTAATTTGATGCGGAGACTCATTTCAGAACATATTTCAGGTCTTCATGGCATTTTGATCTTTGAAAATCCCTGGCTGACTTGAGGTCCTTTATTTCCAGGTTTTGATCACGACAAAGACAGCTGCTGATGATTTTAGCACCCAGTACATTCTGGACAGCAGCGGGCATGTAACTTCTCAGAAGCCTTCTCATCTTGGGCAAGGTTAGGTATGCTTATTGTGATGTTTTGCATTTGTCCTTAGAAGAAGAACTGATCAGATTTGGAAGATTTTAACTCCTATATCCTGCTCTGATCCCCAGTGCAGCACACCCAAAATTTGAGCAGCTGTGATGAAGAGAAATTAAAGTAAAATAGTTATAGGTGCCTCATTTCCAACTGAGAATCTCTAGGGGCCATATCTCTGCTTTCTGTGCAAAACCCAAAAAAAGGGAAAATCTGCAGACTTGAGAAGATCTATAGGGTTCTATGAATTGAAAAGCAAATTAGTGGGAGGATTGAATGTAAAAAGAGGATAGGACACTTAGAGTATGCCTACACTGTGGAGCTGTTTCAAAATAACAGGCGGCTTATTCTGATGTCTTGGTAACCCGCGTTCCATGAGGGTTAAGGGGCATTTTGGTATAGCAAGTTATTTAGAAATTTGGCATTGTGTAGACCGAGCAAAATTATGAAATAAACTATTTTAAAATACACTCGAAATAAGCTATGCAACTTGTGTAGCTTATTTTGAGCTAAAGGTGCTATGTAGATACACCCTTTGATACCACAGTAACTAGAAAGTGCAAAGCTTAAACAGAATAGAACATGCATGGCCTTCAGTGTCCACACAGACTAGTAAAATCATGTAGATGATCCCTGTCACTGGTAGAATGGTGGGCTTACGTTCCATGCTGCCAGTGGCTTTCCATACAGCCATGATACAGAGATGGCAGTGCTTCGTTTGTCCTGGGGCTTGCCAGGGCTGAGGTCCAGCACCTGTAGATTTGTCTGTTCATAGAACCTCTGGGCTTCCTGTGTCAGTTATGAAAGTAAAAAATTGCTTGAGCCCTGGCACCTAATTGCCTGAGCCACAGCACCTCTTTCATTACAGAGTAATCACTATGAGGTGGACTCTCCCCTCTGTTACACAATGAGAGCTTATGTTGATATTATGCATGAACTTGCCTATAGATATGTTATGAACATTACATTCTTCAAGAGAGATGTCCCCGTGGGTGCTCCACATTAGGTCGATGCACTGCTGCCAAGCCTTAGATCAGAGATTTCAGAGCAGTACCCACCCCTTTGTTTTTCCCCCCAGGCTCCTCAGTTCCTTTTCTACTGCCTCCAGCTTCAGACGGATCTCAGCAGTGCTCCCTAGCTTCTTCACATCTACATACTTTTCTCTGTTCAAAACCAAGTTTTCTCTCCCCAGTTTATTATTGTTGTTCAGGGTGAATTATTTAAGAACACTTAACCATACACAAATGGAAGGAGCAGTTGATAATAATGACTATAAATCAGAAACTAGGAACTGTAGAAAATTGATAAACTTAAAGCTAAGTCTATTGCCAACTCAGTTAAGAACAGCAAGGATTTTTTCACAAATATTAGGAACAAAAAGAATTCTAATGGTGTTAGTCCATAACAAGATAAAAATGGTAAAATTGTCAGTGATAGAGGCTGCAAGGGGGGGAGAGAGAATATCAACTACAGCCTTTGTCCGAGTTACGAACGAGTTACGGACCAAACACTTCGCCATAACTCAATCCGTTCATAACTCGGACCCCATTAAGTTACACGCGACCGCGCTGTTCGTAAGCACGGGTCGTGTTCGTAACTCGGGGACCGCCTTTGTGACCACTCCATGGGAGCTTTGTTCGTAAGTGCGAACGGTTGTAACTTGACAGTTCGCAACTCGGGGAGCGGCTGTAGTCAAAAGACTATCCAATAAGCAAATGCTCATCGGTTAGTCAACTAGTCTTTAACATCACTAATTTAAATAGGAATAAATTCAAGGAAATTCTGTAGCCTGTATTATGCAGGAGGTCAGATTGGATGATCACAGAGATGACTTTGGGCCTTAGAATCTATGATCTAAAACCAAAGGAAATCAAATTTTGGATAAGAGCTGTATTGTCATGACCTTTATATTTACCAGAACTGTTGAATGATTGACTCCTGATGAAATACAAGTACTTCTGCCTTTATTTAATTACATTTTTAATGTAAGATAAAATTATATCTCACAGTCTAACTTTTTAATTGCATTTGATTGATTTGAGTAGGCCATTAGCCTTCCTTCTCAGTTAATATTCAGTGTAATATTATGTATTATCCCAATAAAAATAATTATTAGCATACAGTTAAAAAAAATAGCAGTACTTGGAATAAATTTACCTAGTAGCAGAGAATAATTCTTACATTAAAATTCTATAATTGGGTTACAACCCTGTCCCCTTCCTCATGTTGAAAGAGCCTTTAGGTTGGTTTAAGAACTGATCTGTGCTACAGTCAACTTGTAAGAAAGAAAATGTCATCAAACCACAATCAAAACCATATCTTTTTATATTACAGCTCTAAATGGCTGACTCTTGAAGTTGGAATAAAATGTACCAGGAAGCATATTTCAGGACTGGAATTTAATCAGGGCTCAAATAGAGTGTGCTAAATTGAGAGAGCAGCACAGTTCAATCTTAAGAATTTTCTTGTAAAATATGATAGTGCCCCCTTCAAATTGCTTGTTAATATTTTAAATTGTTTACTGTTTTTTTTCAAAGGTAGAGATTTTTAATACCGTACCTCTTAACTTCAGTACATTTTTAATTCTGTGTTTGGTTCAGGTATAAAAAGCCTTCGTTGTGACATCTTATTTAAACATGAGGGATAATTATCACGGCATGATGTTAATATAACATTTCATAATTAAATAATATAGCAAAATTGCCTCTTTATAATCTGTGACTGATTGATTGTTTTATTTATCTGGATTTTATATTGTTGATTTCATAGGCATTGTACTCTTAATTTAGTGGCAAATATATCCGCATCTTTTGAAACAGGCTTTCCTTTAGAACTTTAATGAAATGCAGTAGTGTATTTTTCCTTTTGTTTTATAGTTAATTAGTAAGGTTTTCTGAAGTAGGTGAACTTGACTGTTAACCTGTATATTTTATTACTGATTTTCAGATGCTACTACCGCTATGGTGGGTTTTTGCATCAAGAAAAAAATCTCTTGCATTGCTTTTCAATTTAGGTATATTATAGGCAGATGCTAAGGACAGATAGAGAAACGTTTGCTACAGTATTAGAAGAAGCTATGATTAGACACATGATGAGAGCTTAGTGGGTCTGCACTAGAGCAGATGTACTGTAGATGAAATTTTAACTTCAGTTTATTGGTCCCTGCTAATACCGGAGAAAGAGATATGGATGAAACTAGAAAAATCAAAATGTAATATAAGATTAATTCGGTAAATCCTTGTGGCTTGCCAGAAATGGAAAAAATGTGTAATCTAGGTGTCAAGTAGCTTGAGCATAACTCCAGTTGAAGGACATGATCAGCTTGCACAGCTGTGAAATCTAGCAGTCAGCTTGCTGTGGAGGAGAATGCTAATGTAGCAGTATGTCCTTCTCTTCATGCACGTATGATTCTAATTCATGTTAATAAGAATTATGTGCATGTACCTATTAGGAAGAATAGCCTCTTTCAGCACAAGTGATATTTTTTCTTTACACTCAACCAGTCCTGTGCTTTTCATGTTTACTTTAAAGTCTTATTTCCCACTTGCAGGTACAACTGTAACTGCACTGAAGTTGTTTAAGAATCTTCCTGTAAGAAAACAGTTTTACTCAACAACTAAAAAATGTAAGGAGGAATTAAAAAAAATCCAAGACCTTTTGATGGCGTATGGTATCATAAAGCCAGAACTACGGATAATGTTTACACATAACAAGGTAAAAGTGACTTTTCTTGTGCCAAATATCACAAATTCAAAATTAAAGAAAATAAAGACTATAAAGATTTTGTTCAGCCATTACTACAATTGTGTTTTGTCATCTGATCTTTGATTTTTAGGAATTTGCTATAATTGAAGGTTAGTTCAGACCCCCCCACACACTCTATCATTACCTATGAATTTATTATCGTATGACAATTCGCATTTTAGATAAGCAATGCCAGCTTTTCAAAGAGAACTCTGCTCCTCCAAAAATGTAATTTAATGTATATAGGTTGCACAGTGCAGTGGTTTATTGGGCACTGATAACATACTTGTTATTGTACAGAACAAAGAGGCATAGTCATTAGGGATGTCAACTGTAGTCAACTACATGATTAACCAATAATTCCGGACTTATTGGTTAATCTTGTCGACTATATGCACTCCCCTCATAGCTGCCTCGGAGGTGGGAGCTGGTCCCATGAGGAGCCAGCTTTTAAGCTGGCTCCCCACAAGCACCACCTCCTCCCCCTCTCCCCCCTCCCCCCCCCCCGGCTGTTGCGGAGCAGCCTCTGTCCATGGGGAACTCGGGCCCTCTGCAGACAGGGCTGATACTGCCCTGCTGCCTCCAATTGAGAGGCCCCAACCCTGGGGATTATCGAATAATTGTATAACCGCTAGATTTTGATGCGGTTACACAGTTATTCAATTACATGCTATCTAACAGCTCTAATAACCATATCTTCGCCTTTCTTTCTAACAGTCTGATCTGTTGCTAATTGAAGTCAATGGAAAGGCTTCCACTGACTTTACTGAACACTGAAACAGGCTGCGTAGGTAGTGCTTCTTGTGTGTGTAGTATTTTGTCTCTGATGGTTGAATTATAAGAGATCATTGCAGGAACAACTTGAAATATGCCATATCAGGCCAGGCAATCCTGATTTATGTGTAGTTAAGAAAAGCTAAATCAGACCCATATATGACTAAACTAGCACTCATTTTATGCCCTGATTAGAGACACCACATCAAAAGCTATCTGGACCTTCATATTATTTGAATACATTTTTTTTAATCATGGAAAGTTGTAAGATGGGACAACTCACCACCGGCACTTCCCGTTAGTCACTTGTGAACTACCTCAGTTCAGGCCTGGAGCGCTCCCTTCTGGCCGGTGTCTCACCTACTATTATCTGTTTGTGTTAATGGTTCTACCACCTTACATTGGGAACTACCTCCCTTTCAGACCGTGGAACCCTCCACTCTGCATGCTGCGCTGCCACAGTGCCTCCACACTCCCTTTCAGGGAACTCCCAATTGCCCTATACCCATCTTGCTCAATGATCCACTGCCAGTCATCATCTCTATCAGCCTCTGGTAAACTGCAGGCTGAAATGGCCACTCGTCATTGGCAAGAGGGTGGATCTGCTGCCTTGGCTGTCTCCAGGCCTATGGCCACTCGTCATTGGCAAGAGGGTGGACCTGCTGCCTTGGCTGTCTCCAGGCCAGGAGAACAAGGCCTCAGCTTGGAAGTTTGCCTAGCCAGAGCTCACCAACCCTGCTGTGTGTCAGGAAGCTTCTATAGCATTCCTGGCAAGTAGGTACCTCCTGCTCCATGCCTGAAGCAAGAGTGTGTCTCTCCTCCCGTCCAGGAGCACTTATGTATACAGCCCTCAACTGTAGTGGGCCCTAGTTATCTATAGCTTCACTTGTGGCTGCCTACTCCTGAGCCTCCTCAGACTAGTTTTAACCCTTGTAGAGCCAGTGCAGGGAAAATGACCTGTCATGGAGATCTAACAGAAATCTTAACTACAAACCTACAGAAATGGTACGCTGGTCCTGGTATTCCTCTGGTGATACCAGTTTAACTCCTCTAACTTTATTATTAGAGCTGCTACTGATTTATACTGACATAAGTGAGAGGAAAATTAGGCCCACAAACTTCCATGTTGCCACAGAAAGTAAAGAGTGACACCTAATGGCCAAATAGATTCTACCAAAGTGTTTCTTTTTAATAAAAAAAAAACTATGGAAGGGGTGGCCAAATGTATTGGCCCGTTGAGCCACACACAACAATCTTCAGAAGTTTGAGAGCTGAGGGAAACCTGCTGGGGTTTGGGCTTCAGCACAGCAGGAGGCAGCTGCCATGTTGCCACAGAAAGTAAAGAGTGACACCTAATGGCCAAATAGATTCTACCAAAGTGTTTCTTTTTAATAAAAAAAAAACTATGGAAGGGGTGGCCAAATGTATTGGCCCGTTGAGCCACACACAACAATCTTCAGAAGTTTGAGAGCTGAGGGAAACCTGCTGGGGTTTGGGCTTCAGCACAGCAGGAGGCAGCTGCCA